CTTACCAAAACACACTCAAAGGCTGTGCTGTGCAGAACGTCATTTGTGTGGAACATGCATTCCTGTAGAACCTCAAAACCTTATTTATGTACTGTCTTAAATCACAATACAGAAGAATATGTGACATCCCTGACATATTACTCACTCTGTTACGTACAGATGTGTTTTAGGTATGTTAACATGTTGAAAAAAACAAAGAAACAAGCTGTATTTCCTGTGCGAGCACTATACGAAACAGATACAGATTTACAAATGGGCCATTTATACAGATTTGGTCTTGCCACATGGCTGAATGGCCAGGTTTGTTTCAGTAGCACAGGTATCGGCTTTCAGCCGGCCCTTACTGCATTTCCGTTTCTAACTGTTAGCAATGCAAGCCTGCCTGGATCCCGAGTTGCACCATGCAACTTTTATGAAGAGCTCATTCCTGTGGGTCTCCTGACAGACTGCTCTACATCTTCCACTCCCACTCACAGTGCTACACAGAAGCCAATGTTTAAACAGAGCATTTAGAATATGTATTGAGTTGTTTTCCTGAATTTTCCTGTTGTGTGGCAGAAAAGGACAAGTATAGCATATAAACACAGCTGGTGCAGTATATTTCCTGAGCTGGTAATAAATTCTTTGCAAACAACATACCCGCTGCATTCCTGTTCAATATTTATTTTTCTTATTTTCCAAGTGCCTTAATGATCTAAAACTACATAGCTAAAAGAATTTAGATTTTTCAGACACTATAAATCAGTCTTTAAACAAATTCCAGATGCCAAAAGCACATGGACAGCTTTATGTACATGCCTTTTGTACAAGAACCTTAAAGGAATAGTTCTTGAACATTCTGTCATCATTTACTCACTCTCAAGTTGTTCCAAACAGTTGCTGGTAGCCATTGACTTCCATAGTATGGGAAATATACTATGGAAGACAATGGCTACCAGCAACTGTTCGGTTATCAACATTCTTCAAAATATCTTCAGAAGAAAGAAACTCATACAGGTTTGTAATGACACGAGGGTGAGTAAATTATTACAGATTTTTTGGGTGGACCATCCTTTTAAGATGCGTGCATTTAAACTCTTGTGCATAAAGCATGTATATAAAGCTGTCCTTGTGCTTTTGGCAACTGATATTTGTTTATAGACTGATTTATAGAGAAAAGAACCCCCTTCACACATTCTCTGTGCCAGAGCTATTTCCTTGTCCATCTTTCTTCCAGTCCAGACAGCTTTGTTGGCCATGCACTGCTTATTTAAAGTTGAGGGGTATCTTTTACAATATCTATATTTATTTCACCACCCACCCTGCTCTCCAGTCCCCTCCTCACTGTTCCCCTCATATGCTCCCAATATCCGGCTGCCTCATTCCCACACAGCAGGTCTGCTTGATGTTCTTGATGATATTTCAGTATTACTCAGAGAAGTGTGCGATATAGTCACAGATATGCTTTTATTTCTGTCTGTCTACATTATCCCAGTTATTACTTGGCAACTAAAATAAATATTATATTATATTACATTACATTATATTACATTACATTATATTATATATTACTGTATGTTATATTATATTAAGCTAGTATGTACAGCATATCAGCTGCCAGTTTAGAAATTCTCATATAAAATAGTTTGACAAAAAAATAAATTTTTTTTTATTTAAACTCACAGTCACATCAGTGTCCATGTGAATTTATCTTGAAAATGTGCACTGTTGCTTTAAGTATGTAGACCCCGCCCCGTGCAGCCAGCAGTCAGTCACATCAGCACCGTGGACAGGGGAGGGAGGGGGACTCGGCGATGGTGTAGCGGCGCCAGGCTCACCAAGCCCGGCTGGAATATCTCATCTGTGGCGTTTTATACTCCTGCCTGGGTACCGTGTGGCCGGTACAGCTGGCCTAGGTCTCGAACCGGAATGCGGGAGCCGTACTTTTGAAACTGAGCTCGGTTCTGGGTTATAAACCAAGCGCAGCGGCTTAGCGTTTCCACAGGCGTGTTCTCATCTGTAAGTACTGGTCGTTATAGAAGCTGTATATGTGTCAGATCGCATACGGACGTACTATATGTAACATATGTATCCTTTTATAGTCGCGACTTGACAAGCTGACATGTATCAGTCACATGAAAGATTTAATTTAGCCTGTCTTTATAATCATTGTATCGGTGTGCTTGTGCTTTCTTGAAACCGTTTCTTGTTCAGTGGGATTTAAATGGAAAATTGAGCCAGAGTAACTGTCAGCTGCTCTGACTTATTTCTAAACCACGATGACTATAAAAAATTAATAAATAACAACATTTAGAAAGGGGGTTGTGTTTTATGCATTATTTGTGAGGAGTTTGAACTGAGAGTGTTTTGTAATCAGTAGAGATTTGTGGGATAGAAACGCAAACATTGAGCTGGTAAGAGCAAGATTGATCAAGTTTTGGATGTTGTGAAATCAGTTCTGTGACTGACTCAGATTCAGTCTTATGTATACATAACACCTATGTAATAAGTTTGATACAGGTTTAAATCGTTTACATCTGGAGTGTTGTATGAAAATAATAATAATGTTCTGATGAACTGACAGGGAAAAATCATAAATTTGGCTTTATTTTGACATTATTTTAAATATAGTGGATTAGACCAGAAGTTTTCAAACTTTTGTGATGCCAAGGACCTCCAAATATGAAGATTGCTGTACTAGGGATCCTAATGTTATATGTTTAAACTTTCAGTTAAATTTTATTTTTAATGTAATCAGATTTATTTGAACTGGATTGCTTTTCACTGTAAAAATTGTTCCAAAGCAGAATATTACCATAATATTACTTTGCAGTCCCCTAGCTCCCCCTTGCAGACTCCCTGGGGTTTCCCGGACCCCAGTTTGAAAACCACTGGTTTAGATAATGACCATTTTTACTTTGTAGGTCTGTCTTAGCAGATGAACCATTTACATTGGAGATGGTCTGTTGCCTGAGAGATAGATTGAATTACCAGCAGGGCTGTCTGTGATTTAGCTATATGAGCAGTGAGCACATATTCATTTGACGTTTATCCTCTCAGGCTGGAGCCTGGCAGGCTTTCTCTCTGAATTTCCATTTGGTAACCACTATTTCTACTTGAGCATTCGTCTTTTGTGGGTTTGGCAGCAGTGTTAAACTTGTAGGCTGTTGAATGGGGCTAATGGATTAAATGCATCTCTGCAGTGCCAAAGGAGCTGCAGGTACTTGCGTTAAAAGCTCAGGTGTAGTACTGAGGATAATAGTTGGGGTTAGGTGGGGTGAAGAAGCCAAATGCATCCACTTACTCGTAAGTGCTTTTCCTGTTTTCTGCACTCTGTTGGGCTATCTGGCTAGTGATGGGAATTCTGAATCATTATTGAGAATCGATTCTTTCAAGTTGTTTCAGTTAACTAGTTCAGCATTTTTTTTACATCATGTAGTTGTCATCACATGGTCCCTAACATCTTGACATGGTATTCATGGTCAAGTAAAGATATACGAAAGCACGTATGGCAGATTTATTATGGGTTTTCTATTAAGTTTAAGTCATTTGAAACCTAAATAATATATGAAACAAGTATAAATTCACTTAAATTTATTGGCTGAAGCTTCTGTAAAAGCTGTTTATTAAAAACCAACAAACCATTAACAGTCATTAACATATTTCTAGTATGTTTTATTTGTAACATTTCTGCTATTCCACTAAAGTAACTTCCTTTTAGCCCAATCAGTCAAATCCTTAAATATTGTCCAACTACTCACTACCAGCTTGTCCATTATTTAAAAAAATAAAAATAAAAAAGACTGTTCTCCAGTGATTTGGTGAGTTGTTGACTCAAAAACCTTTCAATCTAATGTGAGGACAAATCATTCAGAATGGTTTTGTGAACCATTTCCACTGATTCAGAGGAAAGATTTGTTTATTAATCAATTACGGCTACACCCTAACTGTTCTAAAAGATATGGATTTTCATTTTTGTGTATGGCAAAGGCTTATGACTGTTATCTTTTCCTTCAGATTCCGAGAACCTGGTTAATGGGAACCACTTGTCAGGAGTGCCAAAATCTCACTTGGTCTCCAACGAGAGAGTGCGCCCTGAGCACAGTGCCATCGTCAGTTCCATTGAGAAAGACCTTCAGGACATTATGGACTCATTAGTCATGGATGACCCTCAGCTCTCTTCCTCCGAGTCAAAGAAGCCCTCTGGTCAGCCCATCTCCCAGTCTCCCTTGTCCCCCATGTTAAATGGAGGGGGGCGCTTCCTTCTCTCACCCCCAATGAGCCCTGGTGCTATGTCTGTGGGCTCCAGTTATGAGAATACCTCCCCTCCTTTCTCTCCTCTCTCATCCCCATCAGCTGACAGCAGTGGCAGCTACACCAGTATTTCTCCGAGTGGTTGTCAGGACCAGCTTCACACGCTTCCTCCTGTACCAGTGAGGTCTTCTAGTTACAATTACACCAGCCAGCCACCCATACCTCAGCCACGGACCATACTGCCAAGCTATTCAGGTGGTAACAGTGGGTCAAAGGTGCCTGAGAGTCCCAGACTCCAGCGAAAGGCTCTTTTAGAAGCACCGCCAAGCCCAAAGCCAAGTCGTAGGGGGTTGAACCAAGACAGCTCGGTGGCTAAAACCCCAGACAGCCCCATACAGACTCACATTCTGCCCTCAGTCTCCATCTCTACTGCTCCGACTGATTACCCATCTGTCAGTCGGGTTCCAGTTCCAGGCAGTCCCAGACTGACCCCCAAATTCTCCACTGCATCCCCATCCTCCTCACCTTCTAGCCTTAGAACCAAAACTGCCATTGTTCTACAGGATCGGCCCTCAAGTCCTTTCCGGGAGCAGCCTCAGCCAGATCGCTCCTTGACCTCTAGCCCCTCTAACCAACTCTCCCCACCCTCACGATCTTTCCAGCCCCCTTTGGACCCCATTGTCCACATCATTCAGGGTGGACCTCCACACCCGCATCCTCGCACATTGCAGCCTCCAGAAAGTCCGCGGCTGGCCCGCAGGAACCTTGAAGGGAGTAGCATGAGGGAGCTTCCCCCTCTTAGCCCCTCCATAGCTCGCAAGGGGGTTCCTGTGCTCCCTGGAGCTCTACCAGGAACCCTGCGGACTCCAGAGAGTCCATCCCCAAGAATGGTGCCAGAGAGTCCCAGACTCAGGCGGAAAGCAGGGTCTCCTACAGAAGAACCATTCAGCCCTCGTGGGATGCGTGCTCGTAGTCCTTCACCCACTTCTAGACTGATGGGGGAAGGCAATGGATGGAGGGGCAGTTTTGGGAATTCACTCTCTTCTGCCTTTAGCCTGGGTTCTCTGCCTGGGTCATCGCCCCAATCCAGTCCCAGGAACCACAGAAAGATGTCAGCGGGCCACAGGGACCTCCGGATGCCTCACCCTGGTATGAGGGAGCGGAAAAATAGCATCACAGAGATCAGCGACAACGAGGATGACCTTCTGGAGTACCACCGGCGCCAAAGAGAAGAACGACTCAGGGAGCAAGAAATGGAGAGGCTGGTGAGTGAGATGCAGTAGTACCTTTACATGCATTTATATAACACAATATCAAACCAAGTCTTCATACAGTATATCCACTAAAATGACCTCGTCACCAAAGTAAATTACAGTTAGCTCTGAGGAAAGATCTAACATCATTTGTTTGAAGATGCCCACTTGAAAGCCACATTATAGTATAAAGAATTCTTCTAAGAAATACTCCTTGTCTCTGTTTGTACATGTCAAGTAGAGTGCTGCCTCTGCATGTCTTCCAATGATATGTAAATTGCAAGTTTCTGCAGTTAATATTTTCCAGAAAGTGCACACTGATGGCTGTATCTAATCTTAACACACCTAGCAAGCATTAGCAATTGTGCTTTTGGTGAGAATGCAGGACATTTGGAGGAAATGCTACTACTCGTCTCAGGCAGAACTGACACACTGACTAATCTGCTGTCGTGCTGAGGCAGAGTGCTCTGATTTGACCATGGCAACCCCATTGTTTGTTGTCTCTTTTACTGAGAGGTGGGAGGGAACAGTAGACATCTTGGTCCAGTTGCAGCCCAGAATGAAGCCGCTGAGACAAAGGCCCCTGTGAAGTTTTATATGTGTTTGTGTCTGAAACAGCTCTTGTCTGCTTCCCTTGTAATTACCCATTGTGGTTGTGTATTGCTTTCAGAAAAGAAGGTGATCTAATTGAGCATACAGAGTTATGCTTCAATACTCCCAACAGAGAGTATCTGTAATAAGTTACTCGCTAAGCATGTGCAGTTCTAGTATGCTCCTCCTAGTATGCTTTATTTGGCTTTTTGCTGATAAAATGTGCTGGAATAAATTGCGAAAGAATGAGCTACAATAAATGAGCTTAACATGCCAGTGACCTCATCCTTGCAAATGTGCTTGATCTCCAAAAAGGTTCGGTACAAATTTAGACAAACAAGAAATTACCTTTGAGTCAGACCTTGTTCTGAAATATTTGCAAAATGTCAAGTGTAAATAGCAAAGAATGTTTGCTCGGTGAAGAAAGATCAGATGTTCTTTAGAAAATGTGACTGTCAGCCATTATATCACTCATTATCAAAACCGTCTGTCTTTGAATTGACTTTCACATAGGTATTTTGACATGGTCTGATGGATTCTGTGGTCCATTAACAAACAGCCCTTATCTGTTCATGCAGTTCTGCAGTTCTATACATCATTCGTCGAGCAAGTCTGCATTTCAATAAAAACATCAGAGTGTGATGCATCTGACGTGCGGATCGGCGACGTTGAGCTCATTGACTGCCCCTTGGCTCCTGCTGAGAAGGAGCGGGAGTCTGCCTAGCATGACAAGCAGAAATGTGCTAAAGGGAGTGTTGCAGCAGTTTTTGATTTTTCTGGCAGCTGACTGTCATATAGAGGAGAGGTCAGGCAAAACATCACGTAACATGGTACGGCACAGAATGCATGGCCACTGCAGGAATCAGGAAGGAGGCCGTGGTGTTGACTGCAGTCTGGAGGCTAAATCTGAGCCGCAATGAGCAAAGGTGGCGGATTTCAAATCAGATACTAACAAGGGGTCCTATGCTAAGCAACTGGCATTGAGATGAATGCGATTCCTAATGGATAGGTTTTCAGGAGTAGAGGTGTACAGGTTTTTACTAGTAGTGATGCACCTAAATCAATGCAGTAGTGATGTAGCCACCTCTTGATATTTCAGCCATACAAATTTTACATATTGCTATTCTAACATCATTTTGGTCACAGTGAAGTGCATCCACACTGCTGACATTTTTACTTGTTGTAGCTTATCCACATTGTGCGTACGCACCTTCATAGAAATGCTAATTAAACGCCACTGTCTTGGTCAATGGTTCTTGGTTGTTGACATTTGTTCTTTAAACAATATTTAGTGTTCTGTTACAAATATCTGCATATTCTACTTGTTATTATTTCACTAATAAACAAAAAGGGCTTTCTTGACAAAAAGTTCTGACTCATACAGGATGTAGCATAATCAAAACTTCTGAGATCACCACTCAGCAAACTGTGAACATCTAAATGATTTTTCTTTTTCAAGAAAGTGTATTTTTTCTTCATTTTGTGCATGTACAGCTGAGTAAGTGTGAGCAAGTCCAGTCTGCGGTGCATAATTTATCATCCCTAAACTGCTACAAGGCTCCAGAGGGATACATGGTTACCTTAGATACAGCCTTGGCACACACACACTTGGCATATGGCGTCAGTCACTAGAAAACCGTTCTGTCAGTCGGCTCGTGTGCCATACTGATGCCAGCCCTGCTAAAGATGACCTTGTTTTTTTTACTGAGAGCTCCCATGATGACAGCACATTTCCATTACTCCATAAAACTGACATTTGCTGCATGGGAAAAGCAGTCAGTCAGTGAGGAAGTACCACTGATCTATATAAGATTTTATAGATTAGTGGGAAGTACGCTGTTTTAGTTACGTTTATTTACTGAGACAATTTTTTTTTTAAGGGGAAATATCATAAAATTAGTATTTTTACTAAGAAAAATTGTTTTTGAGCATTTTTAGCACTGAGCATTATATTATATTATATTATATTATATTTATAATATGTTATATTATAAAGAGAATTTATAATGATTCCTCTTGGTGCAGTAAACCTTGCTGACATCATTTATTATCATTTATCATTATAAAAATAATAATACAAATATTTAAAAAACAGTTCATTTATAACCCCTTTAAATGAACTGGAATGGTTATAGGCTGCAGGGAGGCAGGCAGATTGATGGAAACAGTTCTACTATGAAGACGTAACCACCTCCACGTTGTTGGGAGGGCAGACATGGGTCATCTGCACAGGGGACACAAGAAGTCTGTATGACAAGCATCTGTCCCACTGCTCTCGTGGATTAGCACATTAAATATGTCTACTTTCACTGGCCACATTATGCAGATACATAACTATGCGTGTTTGTAACAGATAGAGAGGGAGGACGAGACAAGAGGTATTGTAATTCATTAACCCGGCATGCAACTGCGTTTTGACCCAGTAAAGTGCAATTAGAATCTTTTTGATGAAGATAAAAGCAGTATCCTCTGACACACAAGATGCATATGAGCTACCTCTGGACCATTTTGTTGATGGTTTAATGTGTTTGCTTCCTGGGTTCTTGCAGTTCAGTGTAAAATGAGTTATCTGCTCTGGGACAGATTAATGCTGATTCTCCTCACAACGAGAGAGAGAGAGAGAGAGAGAGAGAGAGAGAGTGTATTTGGGGAAAAGAGACAGTTAACTGACTTGCTGTGGCACTGATTATCTGGGTCAGTGCAGACTTTACTCATTCTGACCCGGCTCTTGTAATCAAGACAGTGAAAAACAACACTGAGTAGGGCTGTAAAAAAAAAAAATTTATTTCGAATATTCGTCGAATTTAAAATAAAAATTCACATTCGAATGCAAAAACATTGGAGGCAGCCTTATCAGTGGCACTTGAGATGTGATGGTGATGTAAGTGTCGTTGCATTATAATGTTTTTGTTAGCCTAACCAGTTGAAGCCATTAGATGCGGCGCTGCTGCGTTGTTCATTAAAAATACTGCGGAAAAAGAGAACATCGATGCGGAGAAGATCTTGTTTACATCAAAACTGAAACCAAGCTGTTCACACAGAACACATATTTCGTGCATTTTCTAGAGGGATATCTATCACCGTTGCACTCGCGTCTCGCACAAAAGAGCCGCATGTTTAGAAAGCCATGTAAAATTAATGCAAGTTTAACTTTGAAAAAAACATATTGAGACTTTATGGTGGGGTTTTTTCCCCATCCCACTGCATCTCATGTTTTTAAATGAAAAATTTACTCTGTGTGATTGGCTTTCCGCCCTTTGTATTAAACTATGCATACATACATGATGCTGTTTTGTTTATAGTTGTTTAAGCAACTTAATTAATTATAATTGGTTTATAAACATTATTTTAAACATTATTCACTTTTTTCACAGATAGTCATTTTATCTTATGCTTTGAATAAACGTGCATTAGTAATATTTTTCTTGATGCGCCCTCTTGTGGCCTCAGGAGAGAAGCCAAAAGCTTTTCTTCACCCTAATTGAAATTATGCATTTTAAATTCGAATATAATTTGAATTTTGATCATATTTAAGTACAAAATTCGAATGTAGTTTTTCAGTCATTTTGACAGCCCTAACACTGAGTGCTCTTAGCAACAACACATCGAGTTATATAAAGCAATATTCAAGGATTCTCAAAAAGATCTGTTTAACATTTGCACAGGTGACTTTGTAATCCTGAAAGATACAGATATTGATACTAGAGTTCGATACTTACAGTACATGACAGTCGCTTGTGGTGCTTGATTTACATTGTTCAGATTAATAAAGTCTTGTGATTTTATTTGTGATGCAAGTATCATTAGTAGCTATTGTTCATACTTAATGTTAAAGATTTGAACAAACCCTAAAGTATCAAACTTAATTACATAGATCGTCCCACATGTTTGTAACCAACACAAATGAAACCTCAATTCATACAATTTGTTAAGGAGAGTGAACCGACAATTATGTTTCTTTTCATTTTCCCTGATGGTGTTTTGTCTTTGTGTGTATGACCCTGTGCACCGTTTGTATATGAGAATTGTCCATTTTGGACAGGGGATTTTTTTTTTTTTACAGTGTAGCAGGAAAATATTAATGTGTGAGATAAAATATAAATTCTTCTTCTGCACTTGAGCAGAGACCCTTCTGTCCCTCCACACTGGTGTTTTTGAGAAGAGCTGGCAGTGAAACTCTTACTGTTCAAAAGTGTGCCAAGGGATTCAAACAAGCGGCAGTTAGTTCTGTCCTCCGCTGCATCTCGATGCTCTAAACTTGGCCATGAAATGACACAATGAGCCAAACTGATAAACCTGAAGAGGCCACAGGCCACTCTATATCCTTACCTTTTTAGTGCATTTGTACAGATAACAGGCAAGGTCTAATAGTAACCACTATTGATGTCTTGTTCTTTTTGCCAGGTATCTGAAGGCTTTTA